TGTGTAATTAGGAGAATCGCTAATGTCATGTGATTGTAATCGGTGAGTGGGTCATCAAAATACAGGTGTATTTATCGTTACTAATCAGTTTAAATGTGTTTTTATTGTGCAATATTATTTGACGCGAAATTTCGAAAGTATATCGTCTAACTACGATGAAAATCAAATAAGAAATGACAAAGTTATGAGGGTGTAAAGATATTTAAGAATGCAATTTCTATTGACCCCACCTTACTTTAAGCAAAGATTTTCACTTTACCTACTGTGGATTCATATATTTTCGTGGATGGCTGAAAACTTGCATTTTCGTGGATATTTGATTTCGTGGTTTTTCCAATCTCTGTATACAAAATCTATTGAAAATATGTTATTCGTTGAACATTTGAATTCGTGGTTCACCTGTACCAACGAAACCCACGAAATTTGGTATCCAACGAATAATAATGAATCCACAGTATATGCCCATGATAATTGGTAGGTAAAAATATAGAAAATAGAGGAATATGTTAGGAACTTTCGTTACGGTGACCGGTTGCGACCGGAGCGAAAATTTGTAATTGAAACGAAAAGAAATTTATCGAGAGCCAGCGAAAAGTTTGTTTCTTATTGTGTTAGGCTGTAGGCGCTTAGATTTTCATTTCCCATGTTGGCTCCTGGAAATGGAAAATGGTAGTTTATATCCTTGAAAGGAATATGTGAGGTACCTTTGTTAAAGTGACCGGTTGCGACCGAAGGGATTTAATTTTATTGAAACAGAGGAATTCATCTGAGAACCCATGACCAAAAAGTTTCAGTCTTTCTCCAGGTGGAATGCTGTAGACATCAAGACATGGCAAGCCTTTTTTTCTCATTAAAATCGTTTCCGTGCAAAATTAATTGGTTTTTGCATCGGTTCATCTTATTTTCCAATATTTAAATTTTGGTTCCCTTTAAATTGATGGGCTCTCATTGAAATTTGCAAAGGAACAAAAAAAAAAAAAAATAAGAAAATAAAGAAATATGATACCAATTTTTATTTTTGAAAATCCTCAATGTCACCGTGTATCATCGGTACAGCGGATATAGGTACTAACCAAGCGGTCGTGATCGATTTTTCTTCTGACACGGTATGGAAATCTTTGTTTTGTTTACATAATATTAATGTGTACTTCAATCTAAACATAATTGTTGTTTTAAGAAATGATTTGGTTGTAGGTTGGTGATTAGAGAAGTCTCATTATTTTCCCAAAACAAGAACACTTACAAAAAACATGTGCAAATACTTGTCAAAGAAGTTGGTGCGCGTCTCTTCCGATATGATTCTATATTCATTGCAACTCTTTTTCTGATAGAAGGCCACTGTGTGTGCGTAATAAGTATAGCTGTTTCAATAATTGGTTTTGAAATCTTTCATACATATGTTATTTTTCGATATTTTATTCCGAAAAGAAGCGTTGTGTACGGTGTATAGCTGACCACATAAATCCTTCTGTACGGTGCATAGTTAAATGAATGTACGGTATATAGCTTTTCACGCTTTGAAGTACCTATAAAGCTATATCAGCTGTACCGATGATACACGGTGAATGTGACCATGCCAAATCATTACCTTGTTATACACTGAGTTTAATTAAATTTTTTTTAAAACCAGTACTTCATTGGCTTAATAAAACGGTAAAATGTCAGAAAATTAACACATGTATTTTGTACATTAATACTAGGATTGCAAGGCATGTAGATTGGTACCTCTCTATATGTGAATTTTTTTTCCAGACAATACACATGGTATGTTTAGATTTTTTCTTAAATCAATACTTTTTCAGGCCATACACGGTTGTAATATTCATAAAAAAAAATGGAAAATACATTCATTTGTTAATAAAGATACCACAACAGGAAAACATGTCTATTCTTTAATTAGCGGACATTTTTCCTGCACATTTTTATAAATATTTTACGTTTTAAATTCTAAATTTTAATTCCATATATATATACATCATTTACTAAGCAATTCAGGTCGGTTGAGTCGTTCATCTTGCAGATGCAGATAAGTTCTAGATCAAACTCTTTTTCGAGCTCCAACACTTAGGCATTGCTTATAGATAAATCGCCGACCATGATCAAATGATGACTGAAATACGTCAACAGAAAACATCCCTCGTGTATTTTTTAATAGTATGGGATCCTGGCCAAACCTTCACCTCTCGTAAGTAAGGCTATATATATATATATATATATATATATATATACTGTCAAGAACTGAGCCATGATCTCAAACTTACTTTGTAAAATCTCGGTTGATTTATAACACTTCGGGTTTTTACGTTCTTAATCGGATGTATAATTAGGACAAAGTCTCCCTCTGCGACCAAAGCGATCTCAACAAATAACACCCACTTATAGAAAAGGCGGTAAAATTTTATGTGTAGTTAACGTCTTTCGTCCTCTCTCCTTCTCATATAACCTCCTTGGACAAACTGACAAGGTGATTGCAATATAGCAATAATCATGAAAATTCTTTACATAGGAGTAGAAAAACAATGATGAGCTGAAGATACCATTAGAGTTGAAATAATATAGCATGTTTATCAAGAGTTTAAATGCCTTGCTTGCAAACTTTGTTTGGTTGTTTGCTCAGACATTGTAATTAAGAATGACACCTAAATTCAATGGGTGGGCCGAATAACAGTCTGTTAACTATATACAAAGGTTTGATTGGTCAATGCATATCAAAATTGTTTCCAGTTAGGCACTTGAAAGATAAAAGGAAGCATGGGCTAAAGGGGGTACATGAAAGTTAATTTTGAAATGGTTTAAAAATGTAAAGCATGTCGAGCAGTTTTAATGTCATATTTTAATTCAAACTATAATGTTGATATGAAATATTATTTCTTGTTACTTATTACATATGTCTCTGTTACATATAATACATATGTCTCTGTTAATTACATGAAATTTTGCACTTTAAACTACAGTATATATTCTACAAGAAAAAAATAACTTCAGATCACTTTGTTGAAAACTGTTTGAGAAATCAGTGGCTTGCAATGCCATAAGGGTCAATGCAGTAGTCATTATAAAGGGAATATGACCATCAATATTATAAAGGCACTCTTCGACAATTACAATAATTGTATATTTACTAACTTTATTTTAAAAAAAAACAGTAACACAATTTTTAAAACTCATTCTTTTATTTGCTTAGTGCATTAAAATTTGACAATAATGCAATAAGAAATGAAACCATATTCCTGCCACATTATTATTTGATATACAAGTTTCCATCTAGAAAATTAATGGTTTCCAATTCCCATTTCAATTTTTATGAAGATCGAGTTCTTTAAATATTTTGGCGAGAAATGAAATCTATATTATTTTGTCATTAAGATCCAAAAAGAAGCAAGAAATCTGAAACCAGTCAAAACTTTAAAAATTATTTGCCAACAGCAGTTCATATTTTTTTTGGGGGGGGGGGGGTGGCGGTGTGTAGCATTTTTATGGGTAGAAAGATGAAGTGGAAACTGAACAATTCAAGTTTATTTTTTATGATTCTACAAAAAAGGAAAAATAACAACAACAAAAAACCACACACAACTTAAACAAAATAATCAATGCTCATGCAGTAATATCTCTTTTATTTTTTCATGTTAATTGTATTGATAATATAAAAACTAAAAGTATCTATATTAACATGATGACAGAGACATATAATTATATGTATCTGATGATGATAAATGATCCAATATTAAGAATAAAGCATGCAATTGTGTGCAGAAAACTTTTCATTATCATATCAAATAACTAGAGGCTCTCAAGAGCCTGTGTCGCTCACCTGACTCTACTTTGGTTTTAGAAATCATGTAAAGATAGATAAAAATCATAACAGATACCCAAATAATGATTGAGGCCAAATTTTGATTAATATTGGTCCTGTTATTTAATAAAATATCCTGGTGGCCATCTTGAACAGTAAATCGGCAACAAAGTAGCAACACTTGGTCAGCACTTCATAAGGAACATTCATGCCATGTTTGGTTTCATTCCATTCAGTGGTACTCTAAAAGAAGACATTTGTATGTATTTCCCATAGGGTCCTATGTTAAACTAAGCCCCCCCCCCCCCCCCCCCCCCCCCCCCTAGCGGCCATCTTGGATAATGGATCGACTGCAAAAAACAACACTTGGTCAGCAACTCATAAGGAACATTCATGCCATATTTGGTTCAATTCCATTCAGTGGTTCTCTAAAAGAAGACAATTGTATGTATTTCCCATAGGGTCCTATGTTAAACTAAGTCCCCCGCTGTCGGCCATCTTGGATGATGGATCGGCTGCAAAGTAACAACACTTGGTCAACATCTCATAAGGAACATTCATGCCATGTTTGGTTCCATTCCATTTATTGGTTCTCTAAAAGAAGACATTTTTATGTATTTCCCAAAGGGTCCTATGTAAAACTAAGTCTCCCGCTGGGGGCCATCTTGGATGATGGATCGGCTACAAAGTAACAACACTTGGTCAGCATCTCATAAGGAAGATTCATGACATGTTTGGTTTCATTCCATTCAGTGGTTCACTAAAAGAAGACATTTGTATGTATTTCCCATAGGGTCCTATGTTAAGCTAAGTCCCCCGCTGGCGGCCATCTTGGATGATGGATCGGCTACAAAGTAACAACACTTGGTCAGAACCTCATAAGGAACATTCATGCCATGTTTGGTTTCATTCCATTCAGTGGTTCTCTAAAAGAAGACATTTGTATGTATTTCCCATAGGGTCCTATGTTAAACTAAGTCCCCCGCTGGCGGCCATCTTGGATGATGGACCGACTGCAAAGTAACAACACTTGGTCAGCATCTCATACGGAACATTCATGCCATGTTTGGTTCCATTCCATTCAGTGGTTCTCTAAAAGAAGACATTTTTATGTATTTCCCATAGGGTCCTATGTTAAACTAAGTCCCCCGCTGGCAGCCATCTTGGATGATGGATCGGCTACAAAGTAACAACACTTGGTCAGCACCTCATAAGGAACATTCATGCCATGTTTGGTTTCATTCCATTCAGTGGTTCTCTAAAAGAAGACATTTGTATGTATTTCCCATAGGGTCCTATGTTAAACTAAGTTCCCCGATGGCGGCCATCTTGGATGATGGATCGGCTACAAAGTAACAACACATGGTCAGCACCTCATAAGGAACATTCATGCCATGTTTGGTTTTATTCCATTCAGTGGTTCTCTAAAAGAAGTCATTTGTATGCATTTCCCATAGGGTCCTATGTTAAACTAAGTCCCCCGCTGGCGGCCATCTTGGATGATGGATCGGCTACAAAGTAACAACACTTGGTGAGCACCTCATAAGGAACATTCATGCCATGTTTGGTTTTATTCCATTCAGTGGATCACTAAAAGAAGTCATTTGTATGCATTTCCCATAGGGTCCTATGTTAAACTAAGTCCCCCGCTGGCGGCCATCTTGGATGATGGATCGGCTACAAAGTAACAACACTTGGTCAGCACCTCATAAGGAACATTCATGCCATGTTTGGTTTCATTCCATTCAGTGGTTCTCTAGAAGAAGTTCAAAATGTAAAAAGTTAACGCCGACGACGACGGACGCCAAGTGATGAGAAAAGCTCACTTGGCCCTTCGGGCCAGGTGAGCTAAAAACAATCAAACCATCAAATCTTGCTTTACTGTAAAAATTGTATCATCATTAATTAGTTTTCAAAATTCACATTTAGCTAACTATTCTTTTTTCTGTATAACCTATAATAAGTGCCTGACTGGAAACAATATGATATCCATTGTCCAATCAAATCTTTTTATATAGTAAACAGACTGTTACTCCGCCTACCCATTGTATTTAGGTGTCAATCTTAATAACAATGTCTGAGCAAACAACCAAACAAAGTTTGCAAGCAAGGCATTTAAACTCTTGATTAACATACTATATTATTTCAACTGTAATAAAAGAACAGAGTTCCAATGTTCCTCGCGTTGCACATATTTTATCTCTCCAAGATACAAGGGCAATAACTAAAAAAAGCACTTTTTTTTTGTTCTTTAAACTCTTTTATTAATATCTTAAAGAAAGGAAGGCTTTAAAGCAAATGCAATGTGATTTCAATTATAATTAATATTTCCAAGGGGCACAACTCTTTTAAAAAAGTCGATCAGGCACCATAATAAAACTTGTCCGAGATATTGCTGATATTAATCTATAGTATAAGTTTAATAAAAATCTTGCAAGAATGGTACCCGTGAGAGCGCTAACGAGGCCATTTTCCATAAATTTAATATTACCAAGGGCATAACTCTTTAAAAAAAAATCGATCGGCCACCATAATAGAACTTGTCCGAGATATTGCTGATATTAACCTTTGGGTGCTATAAACAGTTTCGTATAAAAAACTAGGGGTTATTCCCCGACTAAAAATAACCATGCAGGGAAATCCCTTTTTAATCATATAATTGGTGAAAAAGTATCACGTTTTTTGTATTTGATTGTATAAATTAGTTAATTAGCTTTCAATTTAAACAGGTTAAATGATTAAAATAATTTTAAAAATTAGATTAAATATACATGTTTTGAGGGGAGACAACACTGTAAACATCCTGTTGTTTTGGCAGTGAAAATTGAAAACTTATTTGCAGCCACTGTAGCTCTTTTCGAAGCAGGAAACCGTACCCTGAAACATGATTTTTATTAAAGGCCAGGTAAAAACCTATGAATTTTATACAGTTTTGATTATGGGAAATGTGCCTGTATCATGTTTACATGGGTATGCACATGAGCTGATTTCAGGTTTTTTATGTTCAGATTAGGCAACTTTTTCCCCATTTTCTCTGGATAGAACTTTTTTACTATACTAAAAGTACACTATATTTTTATTTCAATATAAACTAGAGACAATTCTGATTCCAGTGATATCTAGTTTTATACAAGTATCTTTATTAACCATTCCAAGACTAAGGGTCACTTAGACATGGTCCCTTAAAATATGACGTCATAGAAAAAAACTGTTGATTGCACCCTTAAAGGGTCAAACATATAATATAGTGAGGTTTTAGCATAGAACTGTGTTAGTGAATGACGTAAAACAATTCTGAAAAATATCATATGGCATGCATACATTAATTTAAAAGCATCAGTTTGGTATATTTAATGCAAATATTACAGATTTGTACATAGCAACCAGATATAAGAAAACCAGACTGTGTGCAAATTTTGAAGTTTTTTCATCTTTTTGCGACGTCATAGTATTTTTATTCATTCTTTCATATATTTGGAACCAAAAGTTGCACATGAAAAGTGTAGATTTTTTCTACTTTGACCTTTAGTACTGATCAGTGTAACATACATTTTTATTCATTATATTATATATTTGGTACTTTTTATAGTCAAATAGCTACAAGTGCCATGCCTAAGAAATACACTATTTCAATATTTTTCTCAACTCAGCTACACCTTAGTTCATATAATACTAGGGACCAAATCTTTTTAAAGTAACTTTATTTATGTTTATTTCATAGTTTTTATTCTATTTATTCAAAAGAAACCCAATTTTATGATTTTTTTTCTTTGTATAACTGATGAAAATGTGATACAGGAAATGTTTGGAATATGCCAGTTTAACTATTTGCCACTGGCCAATATGCCAATACTATGCGACATAAAAAATGAGCTGTAGTTTCACTATCGATAGTCACAATCCTTAAAGTAAGACATCATTTTAATCGATATAATGTACAGATTCAGAAAAGTAGAGAATTTTTTATATATCGCAAACAAAGTTTTGCTTAAGGGTGCTATAAACAGTTTCGTATAAAAAACTAGGGGTTTTTCCCCGACTAAAAATAACCATGGAGGGAAATCCCTTTTTAATCATATAATTGGTGAAAAAGTATCATGTTTTTTGTATTTGATTGTATAAATTAGTTAATTAGCTTTCAATTTAAACAGGTTAAATGATTAAAATAATTTTAAAAATTAGATTAAATATACATGTTTTGAGGGGAGACAACACTGTAAACATCCTGTTGTTTTGGCAGTGAAAATTGAAAACTTATTTGCAGCCACTGTAGCTCTTTTCAAAGCAGGAAACCGTACCCTGAAACATGATTTTTATAAAAGGCCAGGTAAAAACCTATGAATTTTATACAGTTTTGATTATGGGAAATGTGCCTGTATCATGTTTACATGGGTATGCACATGAGCTGATTTCAGGTTTTTTTATGTTCAGATTAGGCAACTTTTTCCCCATTTTCTCTGGATAGAACTTTTTTACTATACTAAAAGTACACTATACTTTTATTTCAATATAAACTAGAGACAATTCTGATTCCAGTGATATCTAGTTTTATACAAGTATCTTTATTAACCATTCCAAGACTAAGGGTCACTTAGACATGGTCCCTTAAAATATGAGGTCATAGAAAAAAACTGTTGATTGCACCCTTTAGTATAAATTTTATAAAAATCTGGCAAGAATTGTACCTGTGAGAGCGCTAACAAGACCGGAAGGACAGACGGAAGGACAGACACGACACACAGACGGACGGACAGCATCAGGTATTTCTATGTCCACCGCAAAAGCTTGCACGGGGACAATAAGTTTTGCATTTTATATGTTTATCATATTTACCTTAAAATAATTTTGAATCCACCAGCAACATGAATTTTAATACCAGTATCTATCTCTTCCTTAATACCTGAAATATATCCATTTTTTTAACTAGAAACTGGAATATGGAATAAGTTTCTATAAATTAATAACTACTTATTAGACTCAGGATCATTTATTTAGAGCTTGACATATTTTATGGACCATGTATCTACCTCAAGATGTCTCTTAGTTATTTTGCATCATCAATTGGATTGCTGTCTCATTGAAATATATTAGCCTTTCATCAATTTCCATTCTCAATTTTATAATGTATGATCCAAGGTCCTGAGTGATACATTAAATTTAATTATATATTTTTTCAGGACTGTAGATTGTTGAATGTAAACTGCTAACCTGATGTTCAATGGTTGTCGTTTGTTGGTGTGGTTCATTAGTGTTTCTCATTTCTCGTTTTTTATATAGATTAGATTGTTGGTTTTCCTGTTTGAATGGTTTTACACTAGTCATTTTTTGGGGCCCTTTATAGCTTGCTGTTTGGTGTGAGCCAAGGCTCCGTGTTCAAGGCCATACTTTTGACTTATAATGGTTTACTTTTACAAATTGTGACTTGGATGGAGAGTTGTCTCATTGGCACTCATACCACATCTTCTTATATCTATGCTATTGTTTCAACTACATTATGGCATGCATTGCTATTATCTTATTTAGATAAATTAGACATTTATTTTGTTCCAACACATCCTGTATCCTGTGATTGCTGTTATCAGTGTATAAGTGCAATGTTGATTCAAAAAGTGAGTCCAATTATCAGTAAAATACAGAATTTAAAAAAAAAATCAAACTTTTTTCTTAAGACACCATTTCTTCGTCTTCAAGATCAGTTCTGTTCAAGTTTCATAACATTCCATGAAGGTTTACAAATTTATCATGTAAAAAAAATCCCAGACTGTCTGTAAGTGGTAACTGTAAAAAACTAAGCCCATCTTTGAGAAAAACATTGAAATTGAAAAAAATGTATTCAGTGGCAGATCCAGAACTTTTTAAAAGGGGTGGCCAACTGACTGCCATAAGAGGGGGCCCGCTACAGTCATGCTTCAGTGATTTCCTATATTATTAACCAAATTTTTCCAACAAAAGGGAGGGGGGGGGGGGGGGGGTATGGGCCTGGATCCGCCTATGGTATTTTCAAAAGTTTGCTTCAGATATACTATTGATCATAAAAAAAAGCTTCTGCCACAGTTTCATAAAATTCTATGAATGTTCGACAAAGTAATTGATATGTAACAAACTCTAACCCCAGACTGCATCTCCTTGTTAACTGTAAAAAAAAGTCCATTTATCAGTAAAATACGGAAAAATGAAAATAAATATTTTGAAAATTTTTCTCTGGATACTATATTTAGGTCTTTAACAAGCTTCTGTCAAAATTTCATAAAATTCAATGAAGGTTTGACAAAATTATTGATGGACTGGAAAACTTTAACCTCAGACTGAGCCTGAATTTTAACTGTGAAAAAATTATGTCCATTTATCAGTAAAATACAGAATAAAATGTTGACACAGAGATATGTCTCGCCTGTCGGCATAAAATTCAGGAAAAGACAATCTGATGGACAGCAACATGGTTTATTAATTCAGTCTTTGGACCATTATCTAGTGGACAGGGCCATAAAAAATAATCATCAAACTGATATGTAATGATAGTAATTGCAACTTTATACAAA